GACTGAAGGTGATCTCAGACTGAAGGTGATCCAGGTGATCTCAGACTTAAGGTGATCCAGGTGATCTCAGACTGCAGGTGATCCAGGTGATCTCTGGTGAACCTGTGAACTCCCTCGGCGCTTCTCGGCCTGGTGACTCTGTGACTGCTCCAGACTGAGCCCATCTGTCGAGCCTCTTCAGGACTGATGGTTTATGATGCGCGCCGGTCAGATGAAAAATATAAGGGTGACATTTTCCAGATTTTCACCATCGTTCGCCCATAAACTAAACGAGTCGGGCGCGCGTGTGAATTAACTCATTGAAAAAGAAACAGAGATGCATTTATCTGCAGCGAACGGTTTACAGCTGATGTAGCAGTCGGCTAACTTCTTCCATTAAATGTATTTTTTGTAAAGAATGATCCTCTGAGTCCGAGTTTAGACAGGTTCACAAACTGAGCCTTTCCACGGCTGCAGCTTAGAGGGTGTTGTTTATTTGGGAGCTAATTTGGCCCCGGCTCGGGGACAAATGTTGTCCCACTTGAGCTGGACACAAACAGTCAATAAGCTGCAGAGGGTGCAGTCAGCGGGACGTTTCATCTCAGGCTGTAAAGTCTTAATGAAAAATGAGGTTCTGCTAACAGACTGGTTTAGTTCTGGTTTGCCCGCTGAGCGGTGCGGGCCGGTCCTCGGCGTTGCAGACCTCGAAGGAATGCATATCGCCCGCTGCCTTTCGCCGATCTATAGATCTGACCAGAGCTGTTAGTGCTCAGATTATGTTCCAAGGATGACTTTCTGCTACGGCCACAGCTTCATCACGTCTGTTTAATTAAAGTAAACCCACATTTGTCTTTGAACAGTTTAAGCTCAACTTTAAAGCTGCTTTAACTGGCGCACGTCAGTAAATCTGTTTTTCTTCTGAGTTGTGAAGAGAAAAGTTCAGCTGCAGCCGGAGCTGAGCTGCACTTGGTGTTTTAGCTGCTTGGAGTTGCTCCCAGCAGGATTCTCCTCCAGCAGCCGTGAAGAATGAAAGATTGATTTAATGGAGTCTGGAAAACCAACAGGGGGCGTCTCCTCTCCTCCCCCCTCCCTCCCTCCCTCCCGCGCGGTGGAAGAAGGAGGTATTGGGGATCTCTTCCTAGACAACAAACCCACATTCACGGAGGGGCGCACGCATGACATCACAGCTCGTGCGCAGGATAAAACTGAGCTCGCGGGGTTTTGTGCAGGAGAGGCAGCTGAGGCGTGATGCGGAGCGCGCGCGGCGCCCTCTGACACTTTCCATCATGGACACTGAGCTCTGAGGGACTCTAACACACGCAGCTTTGGAGACGGCTCACGCGTAATTACGCGCAGTTAAAGTGGCCCTGTAGCTGGTCCGTGCGCGCGCGGATCTCCCGGTGTGGACATGGCTCGGGCTCGTGAGTGCGCGGCCGTGTACGTGCTGCTGCTGTGCGTCGGGCTGCTGACGGACAGGAGCTGCTGTCAGCACTTCTACCTCCTGCGGCCCATCCCGAGTGACAGCCTGCCGCTGGTGGATCTGAAGGAGGACCCGGACCCGGTCTTTGACCCCAAGGAGCGGGACCTGAACGAGACGGAGCTCAGGAGCATCCTGGGGGACTTCGACGCCCGCTTTTTGTCCGTGTCTGTCCCCGGGGAGGACAGGTTCCCGGGGAACGACGAGCTGGACGTGTCGGACAGCCCGAGGGCGGGCGGCTTGATGCCCAAAGAGATCCGCGCGGTGGACTTCGACGTCCAGAAGAAACCCAAAGCCAGCAAGAAACTGAAGCGGCGGCTGCAGCAGTGGCTGTGGGCCTACACCTTCTGCCCGGTTCTGTACAGCTGGACCGACCTGGGTACCCGCTTCTGGCCGCGCTACGTGCGCGTGGGCAGCTGTCTGAGCAAGAGGTCGTGCTCGGTCCCGGAGGGGATGGTGTGCAAACCTGCCAACTCCACCCACCTGACGGTGCTCAGGTGGAGGTGCGTGCACAGGAAAGGGGGGCTGAAGTGCGCGTGGATCCCGATCCAGTACCCAGTCATCACAGACTGTAAATGCTCGTGCTCGAGCTAAGAATGAAGACTTTGTCAAGTTAAATTATAAGCTCAGTAAATTTATTTCCCCACGTGCACTACAGAGTGTGAGAATGTATTTTCTGTATATACAGTTTTTTTTTTTTTTTTTACTTCTTCCTGTAAAAAGTCAGTATTATTTGTACCCAGAGTCTTTATTTGTGCAGAGTAGTGCTTTTTATATATTTTGTATTTATGGACATGTGGGACCATATGGACTTGATTTTTTTATCAAGTTTTTAATTTTTTATGAAGCCGATCCACCTCAGAGATGAGATGATTATGGATCCAGTCGTGTTCCAGTGATGATCCTGTAAATATGAGAAATGTACTATTTATTCTTTATATCTGTACAATAAACAAACAACAACTCTGAAATGATTGACCGGTCTTATTGTCCCATCTTTTTTTTATCTTCACTTTGTCCTGGACCCAAACTAAAGGTGGGTTTGATACTAAACTGTTTGGAAGATGATGATTTAAATATATTTATTTATGATCCGTCCTCTGCTGGAGCTCGGCCTCCGTCAGTCCCTCTGATGAAGGAAGCAGCAGCTGTACCCCAGCAGGAGCTTCTCCTCCCGCAGGACGATGCTGCAAACTGTAACATTCAATTATCGGATGCTGAGCACATCCTGAAGCCTTCAGCAGATTAAATGTAATCTTTACAGAAACGACTGTTCTCCACGCTGAAGGATGATTACAATCGACATTAATTCTAAAATTATCCCGTTTATTTCACATTTACAAGAATAACAAGACACTTTGGGCAACTTAAAATGTATTTTCTTAATCAGCTCGTTAAGAAAATCGAAGCAAACGTTGCGTATCTGAGTCGGATGGAAAGGTGAGGATGTAACCTGAACCTTTTCAGCAAAAGTTCAATAAACAGAAAATAAAGAGTATTTTAGTTGAAGTAACTCAAACATGGGAAATTGGTTTATTATTGCAAACATTAAATGCCTTTATGTACTGGTTGTTAATATAAAACAACAATTTAATATTTTATCTTCATAATTAAAGACACAAAATGTGTTTGTTCTGAATGAATCGTTTGTGTGAAACCTGTTAACGATTTTAATTTAACGTAATTCAAAATAAAAAAGGTTCATGTCAGTTTACGACAGGCTGCAGATGTTTATATCAAATTTCAACTTTATTTCTCAGAAGTCGAACAAAATGCTGCAGTTCAGCGAAATGAAGAGTTCAAAACTTTAAAAGATAAAAAGATCAATAAAAAAAATGGGTAAAAGCTAAAGTAAAACACCAAGATTAAACAACCGTCTCTTCTTGGATCAAATAAAGACGATCAGAACCAGAGATTTAAACGGTCTGTTTATGAATTTATGTATAAAGTCCAAAATGTTAAATTTAATAAAGCTTCATCTTTTGCGCCCTGCAAACTGAAATTTAAGTTTGTTAATCTAAAACGTTAATCTAAAGTTACTGAATCATTTTGATCAGTTAGTGTGTCATTTATGATTCTTGAGCTGGATTTGATTGAAGATGATTTTATGATCATCAAACAAGTGAATTGAGTTCATCTTTTAAATATTTTACTCTAAAACAACCCCTCAGATTTAATCCATGTAACTTTTCGTGTTACTTTTGAATGAACCCTAAAGTCTGGATTGAACAGTTTAGCTCCACATGACGTACAGTAACACCCCCCAGCTGTTGGGGGCTTCAGACTGGGGGGCACGGCAGCTTTGATTGTGTTTGCGTCGTCGTGATTCTCCTTCGCCTCAGAGCCGACTGAGCAGCAGATAAATGCTGCTGCTGGATGGACGTCCACGCAGCTGCAAGCAGCAGCTGCTCAGAGAACGTCTGGTTCTGCTGAACAAACGCAGTGATGGTAGGGATGAAGGGCAGATGTTTTTATTTGTTTCACTTTGAAACCCTTAAAATGACAGTTAATCTGCTAACATCTCGTCCACACACAACTCGCGTGGTCTTGATCAATAGCTTTTTGTTAGACTTTTCTGCTTCTTGTACTGTAGCTGATAGCATGTTGACAGCATGTTGATAGCTTGTTGATAGCTTGTTGATAGCATGTTGATAGCATGTTGATAGCATGTTGATAGCATGTTGACAGCGTGTTGATAGCATGT